ACCTCACTGGGAATGTAAGCCAGATCAGTTTCATGATCAATGATTATATTGTATTACAAGTCATTACCATAAAGTACAATGGGACAAGAACCTTAGCCCAAGCCCCACGCTTGATAAACACTAACACAGCAAATACCGGCTGCAAGTAAGGTATGATATGCTGAAACCATGAGATCAAGAGAAACAACTTTGAGAGCCAATAAATCAGCATTGTGACGAGTGACTATTAATCCAAAATGATGAATGCTTATCACAAATACAATTAGACACACTCCGGTCAGATCTGTCATTATCTCAACCCCTTGGGTCCCACGTTGGGTGCCAAAAAGAACTGTCGTGGTTTAAACCCTGTCGGCAAGTCAGCCACCCAGTCTACTCCCCCTTGCCCTTTCTTCCCTCCCACCTGCTCCCAGAGGGATGGGGAGGAGAATCAAAAGAATGTAACTCCCACGGGGTGAGATAAGAACAGTCCAGTAACTAAGGTATAACACAAACCACTGCTGCTACTACCAATGATAATGATGACAAGGGATATAACAAGGGAAGAGAATACAATCGCTCACCACCTGCCAACCGATACCCAGCCTGACCGAGCAGTGATCTAGCCCTTCCTTGTAACTGCCCCCAGTTTCTATACTGGGCATGACGTGCTGTGGTATGGAATACCTCTTTGGTCAGTTTGGGTCAGGTGTCCTGTTTCTGCTTCCTCCCAGCCTCCCCTCCTCCCTGGCAGAGCACGAGGCTCACAAAGTCCTTGGTCAGACTAAAACATTACTGAGCAACTAAAAACCATCGGTGTTATCAGCGCTGTTCGCAGGCTGAAAGTCAAAACCACAGCACTGCACCAGCTACTAAGAAGGAGAAAAATGGCTGCTAGTGCTGAACCCAGGACAATGCACTGCAAAACACCACCAGTGCTGCTGTCTAAAGCAGAGAGCTTTTCTTACCTCTGTTCTCTCTTCCCTTGTTTGTACAGCATCCCACTGTGGTGCTGCTGTGGAGTACAGGGGAGGGAAGGCTGAGGCTTTAAGTATGAACTGTGGTCCATTGTTTGTAACATGCAAGGCAGCGAGGACTGCACAGAAGGAAAAAGAAGAACAAGATCCCGTTTTTTTATAAATAAACCCCCAAATTTCTACCTAGTGTCAAACAATACAAGATTTTCTTTTTTGTTCTCAGCTGTAGGGAATGCCTTGGGAAACAAAGAACTCAAGCTTTTAATTTATTTTCCCTTTGACTCTATGTACATTGCAGTGGAAGCAGACTGAAGAGCCTCATTGTTGGTCTATCTTGTAATTTTTGCTGTCTGAAGGAATTATACTTTACTGCTAACTGTGATACGCTGCTGCTTTGCTATTATCCTCATGAATAAATGAGCAGGCAGAAGTTGAAAATAGACCTCATTTTCATCATGTATAAAATCTACCTGCACTCTTCATGCAGTACATAAATTAACTGAACTTTTACCTTACTGTTCATGAGTAAGCAATTTCCTTGTTTATTTTGTGATGAAAAGACAGGACATGGAGAAATATAGGACTAACAGCGCTGTGCAGAAAACGGCCAGATTCTACCCATTGGAAATACAAATGCTTGTCTATATCTCCAGTGCCAAATACTCATCCTGCAGCATACTTGCAATGAAGTGTGCCAACAGGAGCAGCTGTTTCTTCTGAATGTCCTTGACTGCTTTACTATCTTAACTACTTAGACACTTTTCAGTCACTGAAAGAAATGCTTAAAGAAAATCAGTGCAGAAGTAATGTCACAGAGATTTTAATCCTGTTTTCTCCATGATATCTAAACCCATATCGTCAGAAATTGTTTTCCAGAGGAAAAAAAGCCTAAAGCTTCTTTTTTGGGGGTAGAAGCTTCCAGTTTATGGGGGAGGAAATGAAGTTTCCTCCATCACACAGTAGCTGAACCTACGTTGAGGTCTTGTGTATTCTGGTAGTGCTCTGTAAAACTTTCACCTGGATTAGGTACCTTATTTGCTTCATTTCTGTTTTTTTTCCCCATTCCTTAGTTTCAGAGCAGTGATCAGTCTGGATTTTGGAGCTTTTGACTTCCAAACTTTCCATATTTAGGCCTAAACTTTTTTTGCTTTCTGCAGTACTTCTACTTCTTTGGGCTTCTAAGCATATACACAGAGAGAGAGATATATATAATATTTATATACAGCATATACATATATGCACTGTATTTTTGTACAGTGTGTATATACAGGTTTTATATACATGCACATTTATATATGTATGTGTACAAAAAACTTCAGGAGTGATGATAAGGAGCAGGAGAAAGTCAGGGAGCATACTGTGAAATAAATCAGAAATAGCAGTAGCATTCTTTTTTATGCTGTATCTGCAGGCAGGCTTCAAAGAAGAGCAAATGGGACTGAGAATACTTCCTGTGACAAAGCATGTGTGAAACTTTTCTTCCTTAAGGCAATATTTTAGCAAAACTTATCTAAAAGACCAAAACTTACTGGCAAGATTTTGAATAGAAATAGAGTGCTGTATACAGTAAGTTACACTATATTAGTCTAGTGCATTTAGTGGGCATCTCAGTTTGTATTATATATGCCTGCATTCTAGTATTATATAGTATGGTATGTAATATATATAGAAAATAATAAAGCAAATAAAGCATAGAATAGCTGCATATGGAAAGGGGAGTTACTTGTAGATATACAGGAGGCTGATAGACAGCCCTGAGCATCCAGGCGAAGGCTGCAGGTCTGCCAGCCAGAAAATCTTGGGGGATCTCTCAAGCTCTGCATGTGAAAAGATTTGTGTCACAGTGAAACCTGGAGCTTTCAGAGCCAGGAAGATGAAACAAAAGCTGTGCTGGCAGTGCAGAAAGCAGAGTGCTTCAATGGTAAATCACATTTGGGAGTCAGAGAAAACAATAATTAACAAGGAAGATGGCTGTGTTTATCCTGTTAAAGTAATATTTATCTGGGAACATTAGTATTTGAACCAGTCCCTGAGATTTTTAGCCTGAAAATGGAAGAAAAGTCGTTTGTTGTGAAATATAGACTTCTCTGTTGAATGTGATGCAGGATTCTACTGATAGTGTCAGACTGGTAAGCACCTCCTGTTTGCTGCTGGGTTTATAGCATTTGTCACTCTTAACGCAAGTACAATGTACCCAGAGAGCCTATTATCTATGAGCCCATCTTCAGAGCTTATTCTGACGCTGTGCTTGGAAGATGCAAAGATAGGAATCGTGTAGTCCATCATATGTATGGGACATTTTTGGCACTGAATGTTACCCGTAAATTCTGTCATCAGGGGAAAGCACATTGTGCAGCAACTAAATAGCAAACATCACAAAATGCTAAACTGTTCTAGGAACAGGGCATGACCACGTCATTCCTGGAGTGCAGGCACATAAAGTAGCTCCCATCTGGAAAACAACAGTAACCTAGAACTGGAAAATATAAATGAAAAGGGTTATAGAAAATATCAGTTGAATTCAAGGGCAAGAAAGCTGGGCTGAGCAAGTAACGTTCAGGCAGCTTTGAAACTGTTGGTTTTACATTTGTGGTTTCTATGTGGTGGCATGATGGGATTAATCCTCTGTACAAATGAAAACAACTTCCCAGGGGTTGAAGTTCAGCTTTCTAGATGAGATCGTGCCAAGCTCCAGCATGTGAGACTCAATTTGCATTTTTGTTATGAATAGTTAGCCTCTGTGCGTGTTTTCTGAAGTTAATGGCATTCATGTTGTCTTCATCACACTCATATTAATTCTGTATTGCTCAAACTGTTAATGAATTTATACTTTTAATGGATAGTAACAAAGATAGTGATCAAGATCAGAAGGCATTTAGGCAGCAAGGCTTTTCAGTGTTCAAACCCTGCTTCCTTTGCTTTTTGCTACCATATTGCTTCATAACGTAATTAACACTGACTTGCATGCTTTCCCAAAGCACATGAGGAAAGCAAGCTAATGTGAAAGACAGCACAAATAAAAGGAGGGAGAAGACACCTGGGATCACAGGACCTATGTTGGAAGGCATCCTCACTGTTACCATACTGATTCAGTGCTATTGCAGGGCTAGTGCCTGGTATCTCTCCAGAAAGGCATTAGGATTCAACTTAAAATTTGTTGTGGTTTTTGTGCTGACTTTTCATGTAGAAGAGACTTCTGGACCTACACCCTGTTTTAATGATGAAAAACTTTGTAATATTCTGCATAAATTGTTCAGTTTATGTTCAAAGCCAGTTTATAGGAATTTGTTTCTTTTTCTTACCATATTTTTTCCATCATTTTCTAATGCATTTTGCCAACCTATTATTCTATATGGCTCAACACATGTAGGTCTTACCGTATTAATTTGTTGCTTATCCATGCATAAATTGCCAGCTTACATATTTATGTACTGGTACCACAACATATACATCTAACCTAGGTATGTGGTACCTAATCACACATACCTATTTCCCTCATCGTAACCTGTCACATTAATTGTACAAGAAAGAATGAATCCAATAGCTTCAGAGACATTAGGTATTATCTAATTTTTCAGCGCTTGACTTTGCCAGCCAAATAACTATAAAAGTAAGTTGACTTTAAATATACATGATTTATTGGAGCTCTTTGTGGCTAAAAAGTAGCTTAGAATAAATTTGAGTAGATACCATACTCATTATGCATCATTACAATAAAATATGGGCATGCATTAGCTGTAAAGGTTGAAGTATTTTTATTTTCAAACCCGTACACTCTGAAGGTGATGATCCAGCCTTCTTAATGTGAAAGTATTTATTTTAATGAGCCAAGAATAAGGTGGAAATGGAATCATTACACGCACTTTTTGACAGCACAAAATCAATGAACTTGTGACAGCAGTAATCAAAGTAACGTCATAGCAATTTGCCTGTGCATTATTGCCAGCTTTTGATACTTTACTGTAGGGCCAACATACTCATTAATCTATCTTCTCTTTGCAGTCTTCTCTCTTGGGCTGATAATAGTGATCTTGCACTTTGAGAGAAGAAATATGGAGGGCAGCATTACATTTTTATCAGCAGAGTCTTTGCAAGCCACAGGTAAGTACATTTTTGCTGTGCTCTTGTAGGCATTAATAAGATGCACATCTACCAATGTACTGCAGAACTGTTGTGTTGTGGACACTCTTTAATGACCCAGCTATAAGATATATGTTCTCTGAGCAAGTTGTCTCTTTTTTATTTCCTTTACCCCTAAACAGTGCTGAATTTCATCCAACAGCACAGGTCCAGTTTCTGAAACACTTCCTGGTGCCTGTTACTTCTGGCCTCTTGCTATTTGCAATTATCATCAGACCGATGAATATAAAAAGTATAATATTAGTGTATATTCTCTTATTTATGAAGATATATGATTTTATTCCCTAAAAAAATATATAAAAGCTCTTGAAGCATCCTTATCTTTTCAGTTTAAAAATTAAGACTGCTTTTTGCCCATGGGCTATTAACTTAGGTGTGTATATTCCATATATTTTATCCTTTTGCAAATGAACCTCACAGATTTTGTACTGCTGTTAATTCTACTGTGTGCCTACGAGCTCAGAGGCTTTAATAAAACATACCTGTATGTGGCCTACTTCTGTCTTCCTATACTGGCATTCATTAAAAACAACTCCACTGAATCCTGGTCTGAAACAAGAAAGCAAATTAGGCCAAGACATTTGCTGTGTCCCTTCACATACTCTACATTTCCAAAGTGTCGTGGGAAATGTAGCCAAGTAATTTAACTAAATATGGAAATGCTAGATGTATGAAATCATCTGTTACATATTTCTTTATATGAAGAAAGGTTTTTGTGCGGGATTCTTTGCACACCCAGATTTTGAACAGGTTTGGAGCCACACTGGAGTGATATTTTCTGTAACATGTAATTACGTGTCCTTTGGGAAGCTTGGGCTCTAGTGAGAAATCCAGGGGAGCATTGCAGATGGAAATCAATAACCAAAGCAATACTTGAGATCTGCAGAGCTGAAATGCTGGATTTTTTGCATCTAGCAAAGTGAAAAACGTATTTGTCAACAGTAGAGATTTCTGTTAACATCAGTGTTGTTGCTCTCTGCAACTGCTGATTAAGAGCTGAATAGATTTATGGTACCATGGTAGCTGTACAACTTAAACTACTGAAGATTAACAGGGAGATGGCCTGAAATGGGAGTAAGTGCTCAATTTAGCTCTGAAACTTGGCTACATCACATGTGAAAACTTGAATCAAAAATAGCACCAAAAGCTGACGAACATCTTGGCGCAGAGATGAGCGAGTTTTAGCAGCAGGTATTGTTGCCCAGTCTGTCCATGTTCAGAATAAAACCATTTTCTCCCATGGGTGCCAATGCGTGGTGTGCATGAGACACAAGAATGGCTGTGAAGATGTCAGGGTACCATGTAGGTAGTTCATTGTGGAAGTGCTTAACCACTTGTCCGCACTGGGGAAGAGGGTGAGATAACCAAAAGCTCATTGGACAGTAGCCATTCGGCCTTATGTAAGCTGCATGTGGACAGACAGAGCTTTTGAGAAATCACTGGGGGAATTTAGCTTTTGCTAGGGAGGCAGCTGGTGACTCACCTTTCTAAATCAGTGGAGAGGAGGGAAACTTTCCGAAAGGACAGAGGAATGGCTCAAGCTCTTCCTGTATTTCATCAGGAATTTAGGAATGAGACTTGTGAAGCAGAAGATATCCCCAAGATCCTGTATATTTGCTACATGAGAAGATTTTTTTTTTTGAAGTTGAAATGGATTCTTTTTTTCCCCATTTAAATGAGATTAGCATCAAAAAGTATATGACAGTTTGAGTTTTGCGTGGCTTTCAAGTAGCTATTTTGCAGACGTCTCCAGAATGTCAGCTTTAGAAAGCTATGGATGAACAATGAAAATTGCCATGTAAAATCCTTGGGATAAACAGCACAGACACTGCCTTAACTGTACTACCCTATCAGTTTAAGAAAGCAAAATACAGACCTGGGATAATGAGAGCTAGCAGAACACAGCTAACAGTTTCATTCTGAAAACTTTTCACCATCTGATGTTCAGGGTCAGCTGCAACAGGAACTTTTGGAGAAGATGCTCATGCTCGTCCTTTGGTTGAAACACTAATGAATTTTGTGGTTAAGACCCTATGCATCTAATAGGGATTGGCTCGTTTTTTCCTGGTGTCCCTTTGCAACATTTATTAGCACAGTTAATTTGCTGTGGAACATGGGGCTTGGGCCCTAAATGTGCTGGATGCCTGGTTCTCACTGAGTTTGGTGACCAAATAACTTCTGCATTTTGAGTCCCAAAACCACTTATTGGTAGCCAGCAAAGTACTGCTTCTGCTGGGTGGAAATGCAGCTAATGTTGGTTTGTTACCAGGCCTGGAAAATGGATGGCATTCCCAGGCAGCCCTGGGGGGAAGCAAAACTCTTGTTCAGGAACCATTGCATTGCTGCTTAGTCTTGTCACTGAATCTATAAGTAAATCTTGGTAAAGCCCTTTTGGGACTATGTGCTTTAGGAAAGTTTTTGAGGTTGGTTTGTCATTTATTAGTATTCTACCCTTCAGCAGAAATTATGACAGATGGAAAAACAGTTGCAACAGTACTTGCTCTTGTGTTTAAATATCATTAATGTATGCTATAATCTCCATAATACAGGCTGTATTCAGAGACCCATTAGGCTTTGATTTATGAATTAGTAGTTAGAAAATAATTCATTTCAGCAACATTCAGTTTATAGACCCGGATGGTTCATTATAGTGAAGCTGTTGCATTCATTATGTACCACAGAGGAATATAATTTATTTAGGGCAGATGTTTTTTTAACCAGCTAAAATACTAAAACATTTTACTAACCTCTAAAATGCCCTGAAAGTGGAGATATTATCAGATTTATTCCTGAAGAAGTTACCAAGTTAAGTTCAAATTAGTTCAGTGTTCTGGGTAAACACCTCAATCTGTATAAAATCTGAGTACAGATAGTGCCTTTCCCAGATGCTTTGTTGAGAGCAGCTCTCAGGAAATATGGGGGAGTCAAAGTACATTATAAAGTCTCACTAAGTATCTTGATGAATCTGAGCAAGCTACAGGACTTCATCATTATCCCCCTATTTCCCAGCATTGTCTTTTGCAGCTAAAATGGACTTCATTACTTGTGCCCATGGGAAGTAAACACAGGTGAGAAAGTGACTGATGGATAGACCTTGGCATCCCTTTTTCAAATAGTTTCTAAATTGGAAAAAAATACTAATATTTCCCAGAGGGGCAAAGAATGTTGATCTCCAAAATCCAGAAATACAAAAGGTTTCATTCTGGGGCAACTGAGACTTGTTTTAAGACTTGAAAACATTTAATGTTGATTTCAACCCCTTAACTTGTATGTAACAATAATAAAAAAATCTGTCAAAAATTTTAAGAGAAAAGATAATTTCGAAGCAGGGAGGAAAATTATTTTCATTTCCAAATGCCCAAATGGAAAGTACAGAGCGGAAGAATGGAAGATATTATTTTCTTGCAAATCCTTTTCTTTTTGGTAGATTTGGCTTCTTTTTTGATGAAAGTTATTTTAACTGAGAAATTCATAGACTTACTCTATTGACAAGCATCAGACTTGCTCGGTGAGCTGCCTGGTACCTGTGTTAGCGTGGTCTCAAGAGCTGGATGAATGCCTGGAGGAAGCATCAGTGGCAGTAGGGTGCAAAGACGTGTGGTTCCTGGGGGTGTAATAGCCAGTCTGATGTGTGCCCATGAGGATACAAGTTTGAAGAGGATTTGAGAATCTAGCTTAGGGACTGGGTAATTCTGCTGCACCGGAGCTTTAGGGAAAATCTAGGAGTTTGGAAGAAATTCATCTCTTCCCTGGGAGGGTGCTGAGGCGCTGGCACAGGGTGCCCAGAGAAGCTGTGGCTGCCCCATCCCTGGCAGTGTTCAAGGCCAGGTTGGACACAGGGGCTTGGTGCATCCTTCTCTAGTGGAAGGTGTCTCTTCCAACCCAAAGCATCTCTTTCCCCCCAAAGTGGGCTTGACTCAACTCCCTTATATCGGTATAAAGTAAGAATTAGTCTACAAACTTGAAAGGGATTAAGGAACAAGAGGCAAATTGGGTTTGGTTGTGTGGTTTGGTTTTTTTTCTTTTTCCTAAGGAGTAATACAGATTAATTTAGCAGCTTTTATATCTTCAGAGTCTTGTTAATGTTGCTGCACAGTAATGGAGGATGAGTGTATTAATATTTTATTATTGCTATTATTATTATTATCTGTTATTAGTACTGTTTTCTTTGACGTTAGTACTATCTTCTTTTCACCAAGTATTGCCTAACAAAAGAAAGATGTGAGGTTTGCAAAAGAAAACTGTGATTTTTTTGTTTGTTTTTATTACAGAGTAATAAGGATCAAGTTTTTGCTTTCTGGTGAGAAGAAATCAGGTTGTAATATAGGTAGAAGCTGCTAAAACTTGTGTCTGAGAAAACCAGCAACTGTTATCCATGCGGGATAACGTGAAAACACCCTCCTGGCCTCTTGTTACGTCATTGGAAAATACATCATAGGTCAATACACATCTTTGAAACAGGCATGGTTTTACTGGATTTAGTGGAGGGTTTTTTCCCATTTGTTTTAAACCTATGAATTGGGAAATGGATTTAAGCCCTGTCCTTATTCTGCAATAACAACTGGTATGTCAAAAAGTAAAGGTAAGCAAGGCCCGCTGTGCTTTGGCTATGATGTACCTCTTGAAAATATGCAATCCATGAATATGTTAGTGTGAGATGAAAGCAGCAAGACCCAAAGGCAGGATAGAAAATTGCTGGGAAAATATGCTTTGGCTTCAAGGTGAAAATGTTTCATCCAGTATTAATGAATTTCCCCTGTTGTAATTGCTACAGGTCAAACCCATGCATGTTGTGAAGATAAGTACCCCGCATTTCTACAGGGACACTGATTACGGTAGTTGCTGCTACAAATTGGCATGAAATGACATTGGATGTCAGAGAGCAAAGCTTTGTCACTTTAATTCCTGAGTTGCTCCATATGCGTTGCAATCTTCTCCTGCCCCTGAGAAAGAGACTTGTAAGCA